GATACTGCTAGAAATAGAAAGATACTGCTAGAAATAGATAGAAAGATACTTCTAGAAATAGAAAGATACTGCTTGAATTATATAGAAAGATACTTCTAGAAATAGAAAGATACTGCTAGAAATAGATAGAAAGATACTTCTAGAAATAGAAAGATACTGCTAGAAATAGATAGATACTTCTAGAAATAGAAAGATACTGCTAGAAATAGATAGAAAGATACTTCTAGAAATAGAAAGATACTGCTTGAAATAGATAGAAACATACTTCTAGAAATAGAAAGATACTGCTAGAAGTAGATAGAAAGATACTTCTAGAAATAGAAAGATAAAGCTAGAAATAGATAGAAAGATACTTCTAGAAATAGAAAGATACTGCTAGAAATAGAAAGATACTTCTAGAAATAGAAAGATACTGCTAGAAATAGAATGATACTTCTAGAAATAGAAAGCTACTTCTAGAAATAGAAAGATACTTCTAGAAATAGAAAGATACTGCTAGAAATAGAAAGATACTGCTAGAAATAGAAAGATACTGCTAGAAATAGAAAGATATGCTAGAAATAGAAAAATACTGCTAGAAATAGATATAAAGATACTTCTAGAAATAGAAAGATACCGCTTGAAATAGATATAAAGATACTTCTAGAATTAAAATGATACTGCTAGAAATAGATCGAAAGATACTTCTAGAAATAGAAAGATACTGCTAGAAATAGAAAGATACTTCTAGAAATAGAAAGATACTGCTAGAAATAGAAATATACTGCTAGAAATAGAAAGATACCGCTTGAAATAGATAGAAAGATATTTCTAGAAATAGAAAGAAACTGATAGAAATAGAAAGATACTTCTAGAAATAGAAAAATACTGCTAGAAATAGAAAGATACTTCTAGAAATACCAAGAAATTTCTAGAAATGCCAATTGATACTTCAAGAAATGGGAAAATAATTCTAGAAATAGAAAAATACTTCTAGAAATAAAAAGATTCTTCTAGGAATAGAAAAATACTGCTAAAAATATAAAGATGCTCCTGGAAATAGAAAGATACTCCTAGAAGTAGAAAGATACTTCTAGAATGAGATATTACAAATAAGCAATCACAATTTATTCTGCAGTTTGGACCCACCTAACCAGGGTAGGTTGTTCTGAGTAGTTGGCCCTAAGTTAGTTAACGATAATCAAAATAAATTCTTTATACAAATATTGATTACTCTTTTTTGCAGATTTAGTTTCTTTAAGATCAATTTCAATTGCATTCCACAATTTAGGAAACAGTGCGCGGCGGACGGAAAGTTTTCTAGATTTTTGTTTAAAACCCGTTCTAATTTATATTATTTTGTTAAATTCGGTTCTGCTAGAGACTTGAATATATTTTGGAAGGAAGAGGGAAGGTTATCATTAAAGTATCCATGCATAAATGTCAGAACACTAAGTTTGTATGTATCTTCAAGATTAAAAACTTTCAGTTTTGAAAATAATGGATTTGAATGTGCCTTGAAACTACTATTATTAACCGCCCTAATTGCCTTTTTTAGCAAAGATCTGATTTTTTGCATTTTAGAGTTTTTAACCCCTCCCCAAGTAACAATTCCATATTGGCTTTACAAGAGAGTTATAAACAAGTAGACGAATATTTAATGGTAAGATATTCTTAATTTGAGACAAAGCCAAGATTGACCTATCAATTTTATTCGAGATATGTTCAATTTGAAAATCAAAGTTTAATATTTCGTCAAGTTTAACTCCAACAAATTTGAAATACTATGTTTTGGAGACATTTAGTGTCAAACATTTGCTTGAAACTTTTTTCTGCTGTTTTAGTTCAGTGTTTGCATCAAGTATTAGGCTAGCTATGTCAGGAGAGGACTTTAAAAACTAGTATCATCTGCAGAGAGGCTGGTAAAAAAAGATGTTGCTAGGGGGCAAATCGTTTATAAAAAGAAGAAACAGTCGGGGCACTAGAACACTTCCTTGAGGAACACCACATGTTATATTTTTTTTCTGTTGAAAAAACTCCATTTATACACACATATTGAGTTCTGAGATGTCTAGTCTAGATACTTCTAGATGCTGTTAGAAATAGAAAGATACTTCTAGAAATAGAAAGAAAGATACTTCTAGAAATAGATATAAAGATACTTCTAGAAATAGAAAGATACTGCTAGAAATAGAAAGATACTTCTAGTAATAGAAAGATACTGCTAGAAATAGAAAGCTACTTCTAGAATAGATAGAAAGATACTTCTAGAATAGATAGAAAGATACTTCTAGAAATAGAAAGATACTTCTAGAAATAGAAAGATACTGCTAGAAATAGAAAGATACTTCTAGAAATAGAAAGATACTGCTAGAAATAGAAAGCTACTTCTAGAAATAGATTTAACGATACTTCTAGAAATAGAAAGATACTACTAGAAATAGAAAGATACTTCTAGAAATAGATAGAAAGATACTTCTAGAAATAGACATAAAGATACTAATAGAAATAGAAAGATACTTCTAGAAATAGAAAGGTACTGTTAGAAATAGAAAGATACTTCTAGAAATATAAAGATACTGCTAGAAATAGATAGCAAAATACTTCTAGAAATAGAAAGATACAGCTAGAAATAGATAGAAAAATACTTCAATAAATAGAAAGATACAGCTGGAAATAGATAGATAGATACAGCTGGAAATAGATAGATAGATACAGCTGGAAATAGATATAAAGATACTTCTAGAAATAGATAGATAGATTCACCTGGAAATAGATAAATAGATACAGCTGGAAATAGATATAAAGATACTTCTAGAAATAGATAGATGGATACAGCTGGAAATAGATATAAAGATACTTCTAGAAATAGATAGATAGATACAGCTGGAAATAGATATAAGGATACTTCTAGAAATAGATAGATAGATGCAGCTGGAAAAAGATATAAAGATACTTCTAGAAATAGATAGATAGATACAGCTGGAAATAGATATAAAGATACTTCTAGAAATAGATAGATAGATACAGCTGTAAAAAGATATAAAGATACTTCTAGAAATAGAAAGATTCAGGTGGAAATAGATATATAGATACTTCTAGAAATAGATATAAAGATACTTCTAGAAATAGATAGATGGATACAGCTGGAAATAGATATAAAGATACTTCTAGAAATAGATAGATAGATACAGCTGGAAATAGATATAAGGATACTTCTAGAAATAGATAGATAGATGCAGCTGGAAAAAGATATAAAGATACTTCTAGAAATAGATAGATAGATACAGCTGGAAATAGACTATGAACCCAATGTTATAAAAAGTGTAAAATTCCCAAACTGGGAAAGTATTTGCCTTGAATTGAAAAGAAGAAGAAAAACAATTGTTTTCGAATCAATCTATATTATTATATTTGTTCTGGTTCCAAGGTTTGATTGATATCAGCAAATATACCGGGGTGGGAATATATTAAATAAAACTATGTGATTACTCAAATAGATCAGAAAAACCACAAAATATTTATTTATATATTATTTATTTATCATTCTCTGTTTGTTGTGGAGTTGTGTTCATATAGAGAAAATGAAAAGAAAACAACAAAATATGATTCATGAAACAAAAATAGAACAGTTTTAATTATGTATTTGAAAATTGTTTAAGTGTTACTTTTAGGCTTCACACAATTATCTCTTAATAATTCTAGCTTTTAAATTCTACTGAGCTTAATTGCATTCGACTTCTTATTTCTTTTCCTTTTATTGTTTTTTTTTCTTTGTTTATTCAACTTTTTTTTTGTATTATCTGTTTATTTTTGCTGATATGTGTAATATTATAAGACGAACACCTGATAATGCCAAGGTTGTTGGCAAAATATATTGAGAAAAAAATGATGTAATTCTAAAACGCCAGGAACTTTATCTAGTATCAAAACGGCTGAACTGATCGGTTCAACATTTTTCGGGCACTCGCGTAACCCCAGCCAAGGTTTATGGACGTTGAAAATAAACAATGTGAACAAAAAAATCCGCGAAACATCGAGTTTTACAATTAAACGTAGAACAAATTGCCACTTGAAGAACAACATTTAAGCGCTTTAAATAGAAAGCCTAGCTACATACACATTTTGGACTTGATACACAAAAATAGAAAAACCAAATATATATACATACATTATTTTAATTTTATATTGATTTTAAATATTGGAATATCATAAATATTTTATTTAACTTATTTTGTTTGAAAATGTCAGCTTCAGAGCTCGACCTTGATTAATTACAATTTTGACATTAACAATTGTTAATTCTAGAATTAAAAATGTAAATTTAGCAGTTAATCAATATAATTAATTCACATAAAGCTGGAACTAATTACTGGCATCAAACTCTTTCATTTTATTATCGTTATTAACAGCTGATGTTGTAAACCATTTATATTTCGAACTATCCAAACTATTGATTATGTAGCCAAAATTTGAAAAATCAATGGTGTACACCATCAGGTTGCCAAAGTGTCGGGAATATAAAATTAGAGTGTGAGGCGATCAATCATGGTTCTTTTTAAAAATAAAAAACTTATTAAAAACGTATATTAAATGTCAATATCTTCAAATGGCATCACATCCATTACTCATACCCTACACTGTTGTTTATTTATTATATTTTTTAATGATAATATGTTTTATATAGTGTACAGCTTTGTCACGAACTCAATTTTCTAATCCCTATAATTTAGCAAACCAATGTTGTAGACCTTAGATATTTCAAACTATGAATTCTATTGGATGAAAAAATCTAAGTTTAAAATATGAAAGGTTTACACCGTTAGGTTGCTAAGGTATTGGGATTCAGAAAGTTTAAATCGTGTCGAAAACTCAATTTCTGTGATTTTAAAAGTTGGACATTTCAATAATAAATAAAATAATATTTTTTCTAAGAATTATACACACCTTGTAGAGTATATATAACTATATAAATTGCATGATAAATTGTAATGTACAAGAATTAGATTTAAATATTTTAGAACTAAAGCTTGTGAGAGGAGCTGTACAACTGAGATATGACTTTGGTCTTGGTCCCGGGGTACTGAGAACTACGGTACAACAGTATGGAGACAATAATTGGCACAAGGTAATGCAGTAACAAAAAAATAAAATACATTTTCTGGGAAACTCTGCGCAAAAGATCTTTCATCAGCTCTCAATAAACGAATAACGTGTCAACAAGAATTTTGATAAATTACCTTGGTTTAAATTAAGCTTGAAAAAATTAGCTACTTTTAGGATTGGTGGCTGGAATTCTTCATTAATTATGAATTGAATCAATATTTTTTCGTTTATAGCTTAAAGAGTAAAAACACAAAAATTAAGTATTTATGCGCTCTCCATTTTAGAAGGGAAAAAATGCATTTAATAAATAGTATTAAAAGTCAACAGAAGCAATTTAGAATTTTCAAACCGAGCCAAGAACATTCCCGTGGTTCTGCCGATTTTCCCAATCAAAATTTAATGCAAATCGGTCAAAGGATTTATAAGTTATGATTGGACATTTAAACAAACAAACAGACATACACAGACTACTTTATATATTTGTTTCTTTTTAGTTTTATTTCAGTATAATTCACTTTTTACGTATATCACTTTTTAAACTATTTATGCCAAAATTAATTATTTTATTTTTACAACATAGGCTTACTGATTAAACAAACAAAAAATTATTTATAAAATACACATTAGCTAAACACATATAGTAACATATTGAACAATATATAAATGAAATAATATAGGAATATCAAGAAGAGAATGTAATTAATTAATGTGTAAATATTTATTAATGGTGTTTAATGTTTTTTTCATAGTTTAACTTTTTTTTTACTTGGAACAAGCTTGCATTGACAACAGGAGGGGTAGTTAATGAAGTTTTTATAATTTTAAAATTGCGCACCTGAATTTCTTTGTCATTCTTACGTCTTTACATTAAAAGGTGCGGGAGGGAGAAAATATGGTTTTCGATTGCTCCTTATAACAAAAATGAATTCTGAATTAATATTTGATTAGAAAAGAGGCTTCAGAGACAATTTTTTTTAAATCCATTGAAAATCAGATTAAAGGAGCTGGATTTTTACAGAAAATTGACGTCCACAATTTTTCCAACGGATTCTTTCCACTCTGGACAAAATCAATGAATTTGAAAAACATGTCTGTTAGATTGATTTGATTACTCATTGATCTATAATATAGGTGGCTCTGAATCGAGGCGGGTTAAAGAGTACACTCACAGTCGATTCAGAAATAATATCTCAATCAATCAATTCATCAGTACTACAGGGACAATCAATATTGAACATGTTAAATATGGAAACCATCATAATTATGATTTTCCAAAAAATCTTCTAACTTTTTATTATATTAAATTTTCATTCATTCTTATTCTTCATCATTGTTATTATAATCATTACCATCAACATCATTGTCATCATAATCTTCTTATAATCATTGGTATAATCCTTATAGTAATCATCATCATGAGCAATTTCATTATCTTAGTCATCATAATTGTAATCATCGTCATAATATTCATTGATTTGTCATTTAGTATCATCATCATTGTATACATCAACATCTTTTTTGTAATCATTATCATCAGTATTACTAGCATTATTATCGATATCACTATCATCATTGGTATCATAATCATCATTGAATATTGATATCATATCATTCTTTTGGTAATCATCATAATCGTCATCATTATCTTTATTGTAATCATTATGTGGTATCATCATCATAATTGTTAAAATTATCATCATTGTAAACATTATTATCATCACCATTCTTATCATTATCATAATTGTTGTCATTTTCATTGTATTTAGTATCATCATCGTTCTAATCATCATCGTCTTTATTATTATTATCATCAACATTGTTTTGAACTAGCATGACCACTATTATTATTAACGTCGTTTTATATTATTATAAATATCATCCTTCTTGTAATCAGTAAAGGCTTACATTATTATTATCATGATTGTAATAAGTTGTTGTTATATTTTGTTTTAATGGTTAAAGTTTAAATGAAAAGAATTGAACCTGATTTTTCAAATTAATCCTTTCAAACTATCAATCTATCAATCCATCAATCAACTCATCAAAAAGTTATAATTTCAAACTTCAAAATATGTTCCAGCATTTCATAAAGTTTAATTTAAAAATACAATGCGGAAAAAAACTTATATTATAATATGATTTAAAATACTTTTCATAACATTTATCGCGTGGAAAATATTTATGTAACATGTTTATATATTGTATTGTTTTAAGTCGGTTGAGTTTTCTAATACGAACATGTATATTGGTGGTATACCTACCTGGCTTGCAGCAAACAGCAATGTAAGTTTTTTCTTATATATCTAATTTTCAAGAATTTAAAATTTCCGTTTTCAAGTTTTTTAATTAAAAAAGTTCTTGTTAAATGTTTACTACAACAAAAGACCAAAAAACTCAATTAGATTTTTCTTCTTTCATATCTTTGCACCCTGATCATTAGAATAGTCTTAGTTTGAAATCTAAGAATTACACCATCAGGTTGGAAAGATAGAAATATTATGAAATCACAGTTTGAGTTCAGTTCCTTTGTATACTCTGAACCATTGTATATCCACGGTCCAAAAGAGAACTTCTAATGAAGTATAATCTAAAAAGGCAGTTTAACCTCCATGTGACGGTCCAAAAGAGAACTTCTAATTGAGTATAATCTAAAAAGGCAGTTTAACCTCCATGTGACGGCCCAAATGAGAACTTCCAATTGAGTATAATCTAAAAAGGCAGTTTAACCTCCATGTGACGGTCCAAAAGAGAACTTCTAATGAAGTATAATCTAAAAAGGCAGTTTAATCTCCATGTGACGGCCCAAACGAGAACTTCTAATAAAGTATAATCTAAAAAGGCAGTTTAACCTCCATGTGACGGTCCAAAAGAGAACTTCTAATAAAGTATAATCTAAAAAGGCAGTTTAACCTCCATGTGACGGCCCAAAAGAGAACTTCTACTAAAGTATAATCTAAAAAGGCAGTTTAACCTCCATGTGACGGCCCAAAAGAGAACTTCTACTAAAGTATAATCTAAAAAGGCAGTTTAACCTCCATGTGACGGCCCAAAAGAGAACGTCTAATGAAGTATAATCTAAAAAGGCAGTTTAATCTCCATGTGACGGCCCAAAAGAGAACGTCTAATGAAGTATAATCTAAAAAGGCAGTTTAATCTCCATGTGACGGCCCAAACGAGAACTTCTACTAAAGTATAATCTAAAAAGGCAGTTTAACCTCCATGTGACGGTCCAAAAGAGAACGTCTAATGAAGTATAATCTAAAAAGGCAGTTTAACCTCCATGTGACGGCCCAAAAGAGAACTTCTACTAAAGTATAATCTAAAAAGGCAGTTTAACCTCCATGTGACGGCCCAAAAGAGAACTTCTAATAAAGTATAATCTAAAAAGGCAGTTTAACCTCTCTCTATATTGTACTTGTATTTACTAGAGGAAGGAAAAGATCAGTTATTGTTCAGGTGGAGGGTCATTTGTACTTACTTAAAGATAGATAAAATATCCAATAAGGAGGTTAAACTGCTTCTTGGGAGGTTCAGGTTTTGGAACTACATTGAATGAATGTATTCTTTTAAATCAATACAGTTCAATGTATTGCATAATTAACTAATTCTAAAAAGTAAAAATTCCAGAAGATCCTGGAAATTCTTGGAAAAATTCCTGTGCTCTGCTCGGAATTCATTTTTGCAATTCAAAAGAAATGATTTAAAAAACTTTTTCATGCATTTATAAACCTCTTCAACACGATATTAATTTTTTTTAGTGAAGATTGAGACTAGTTATTTTATTTAGGACCTGTCAGCCCCTAGCGTGGTGTTTGAGCCAACATTTCAGGGGGGTTTTAAAGACCTTGTTTATAAAGGACGATCTGGGGACTCAAAACAGAAACTAGTGGCGTATAAGGTAATATAGGCCATTTTGAAAATTGTTTTTTTTATGGAGTATTTTTTTTGTCAGAAAAAAATATTCC